GGTTCAGATCAACGGCTCCTGGGAGGTTTCTGAGAAGCCTTAGATTAAGATTTTTCTTAGTCACCAATTAAATGGACAATGTTGGCAATAATCTAGGCAAATTAGCCAGATGCCCTGTAGACAAAAGGCAAGAGAGGTTCATAGACCCTCCAGCTACTCCTAACCTCCTGGGACTTAAGACGTCTACTTTCTATCACCTCGAGTGGTGGGTCTCCATTTGCAGCCAGGGCCGTCATGATCACCACCCTTTTTTCTAGTTACTCACACATCTTACCCAACCCTATGCTGTATTCAAATCAGTGTGAGAATAAGAGGACATCCAGTTTCCACCTAAATAAAGGAGCCATTATTAAGCCAGTGGCTGTGGGAGGACTCTGGTCACTCCAAAACCCCACAGCCCAAAGCAGAGGGAAGAAGATTTATAAAGGCAAAACCCACAAAGGAAAAACAAACAAAACAAAATAAAAAACCAACTACACACCTAAGAAAGTACGGGCCTTGAGTTACGTGAAAGCAGTTAACGAAAGCCAAAAAAGTAAGTAATCAGGACAGACAGTTATAATTGGCTGGATAGTTTTAGTTGGCTGCATCTGCTGGTGGTGATAAATATTTGGTGAGGCATTTTTAGGAGACACATACGGGTCGGTTACAGGGAAAGGGAAATGGCTGCAGAATCATATTCAAAATGAGGTGCTCATGCTTCATTACACCCACACATCCATAGGCGGCTCAGTATTTTCTTCCTTACATACTTTGTACCGTGTTGGGACATCCTCCACCCCTTTTATGTCGGCCATACCAGGACCACTTTTTTTTTTTTTTTTGAGAGGTTTTTGCTATAGGGCGCATGCGCTCACCAGACAGACAGAGAGAGACAGAGAGATAGAAAGTGAGAAATCACCCCCCAGGGGGGATGGCCACGCCACAATCCCTTCTCCTCCATTCTCCTCTTGGGATCTTGGGCACACACGCACACGCACCCGGCATGAATTTAAGCCGCCGGGTCCAGGATTTGAACCGCGGTCAACTATGTGGGAGTCCAGCGACATAGCCATTACGCTAACTGCTGGTCCCCATACCAGGACCACTTTAAGGGCCGTCACCCTGTGTGCAGGGTCACCATCAGTAGTATTCATAAAATTGCCCATGTCCAGCAGTATAGGTGGTGACACAGAAGCACCAGGGCATAGTCCCCAACTGCCCAGCTCTTCTCTGCTACTCACAAATTCCAGTAACCTCATGTAACTCCACGAGTAGGGGTTAAATATGGAGTTTGGATCTCTTAAAATGAATCTGGGATTCTTTCTTACCCACAAAACTCATAATGAAATATTCTGAGTATTATGAAGAATTCTCACATCTAAAGCCTGTGGGGTATCATCTAGACATAGACTCCCCCACCCCCTGTATCTGCTTCCCTCTACCCTTTTCCTCAGGGAACAGTCTCTCTGGCCAAGGCTACTCTCTCAAGAATGTACCCCTCCCTAGTAATGAGTTACGGAATGCACATAGCTGAGCTGAGTGAACATAATCACCAGGTGGCACAACTCTGGAAGGGTCCAAAGAGCCGGCATGTGCCCTCTAGTTAGGCTTGTTCTAATCCGATGGCTATAACTGCTTGCTGCACTGAGGTAAGGCATGGAATCTTCTCCAATGGCTGCCATCGATGTCTCCTGGAAGTCAAATAAGCCAACGTCTTGGCCTGCTGGACCTCCCGGTGACTTCTTTGGAAGAGGTAAACATTATGCACAGCCCTCTCAGATTTGGGGGATCTGCATTATGAAGCCCAGTTGCCTATCTTAAATGTGTGCTTAAATGTGTATCTTAAATGATAGCCAGTTCTTCTTGTTAAGAGTTCATTTTATTTTTAATGGTACCTATTCTTTATCAGGTGAGGAAATTGTCCTCTATTCCTACTCTGATAAGAGTTGGGATGTGATTTTGTTTTTACGAGAGACAGAACAGAAAGTGGGGGAGAGGGGGGAGGTTGTCTTATGATGGAATCCTTGCATCATGATCCTCCCGGTTAGCTAGGACCACAGGGGCACACTACGGCTCCTGGAATGTTTAGATGGGCCAGGAACAAACCCAGGGAACAAACCCAGGTCTCCCATGTGGCCTCAGCCACTGCGTACCGCCACCATCCTGCTTGCATCACCACAGCTAGGCCTTAGAAGAGTTTTTGCCATGAATTTTGTGAAATGATTTTTCTTCTCTAGCTTATTAATACGGTGTATTACAATAACTGATCTTCTTTTTCTTTTTTCTTAATGAGACATAAATGGCCTTACTATATTTGCTTTTTTGTTGTTGTTTATTCAACATGAATACACTGTATATTAGTCTAGCTAAATATATTATCATACACATTATCATCGACGGGTCATTTTCCATGTTACCCACGATATATCATTCTTTTCGTATATTATCAAATTATACGTGTGTGTGCGTGTAAGATCCATGAGACTGGAAATAAGAACAAGACCACTGCCACGAGTGCTTTTTTGTTGTTGTTTATTCAGCATGAATACACTGTATATTAGTCTAGCTAAATATATTATCATACACATTATCATCGACGGGTCATTTTCCATGTTACCCACGATATATCATTCTTTTCGTATATTATCAAATTATACGTGTGTGTGCGTGTAAGATCCATGAGACTGGAAATAAGAACAAGACCACTGCCACGAGACACTGTGTAGGGGTTAACCACTGGGTGAAAACTCACATGCAGGGGGCAATGCAGAAGCACCTGCAGTTTCTATCCTGCACTGCTTGCTTCCAGCCACTCTGGGGCAAACTGGGGATTTTGAAAGGAAGCTTAAGAGGCTATATACCTGGGCTAGGAGCGTGCTTGGCACCCAGCTCCGGAGATAAGAATCTAGCTTGACCACACCCGGCTGCACTGGGGTGGGTTTATTATCCTAAGCCCCTACTGTAGGAACGAGAGGAATGGGGGGCCCCAATATGTCCACAATCTTTAAGAAGCAAGGCTAGTCAGTTATATGCCTACAATTTGTATTTTGTCGAACTTTGTTAATATTTTTTGTTTCCTTAGGGATCGTTTTTATACAGGTCTATCCAAGATCCTAGAAGCAACCAGATTAGTTACTGATATGCAAGAGGAGCTCTTAATTCTTGGCCCTCAAATAGAACAAAAAACAAAGGTATGTTTGATTTGAAATTGTCTTTAAAGATTTTATAGTGTGATATGAAAGTATTTGAAAAGCAAGTTTTTCATACCTGAGAAAAATGGGTTAGAATTATACTTATTGTAGTCATCCTAATGAGTCTATTAACCAAATATATTTCTGGCTGATCTTGATCAGTTTTATCATAATGAAATGAGCTATTTGAATTTCTCTTTATGAAAGAGACTATGTCAGACCAGCCCATGTTGTGGTGGTTAAGGCAGCTGGATGTCACATGGCCAACTGTGCAGTTAAAGTCCTGGAACTAGTGGCTTGAAAAACACACCAGGCACATGTGTGTACATGCCCCAAATCCCAAAAAGAGCATGGAAGAGAAGGGATTGTGGCGTGGCCATTCCCCCAGGGGCGTAGTGGGTGCTTTCTCACTTCCTTTCTCTCTCACTCTCTCTGTCTCTAGCAAGCACATGTGCCTTATAACATTTTTTTTTAAAGAGAGACCGTGTCTCTTAAAATTCATTCTAAGAATTGTTTGATTCATTAGGAAATAGAAATCCTATTGGAAAAACTACGGAAAGATTCACAAGTAGTTGAGAAGGTTCAGATGCTTGTTAAACAGGATGAAGAAACTGTGGAAGAAGAAATAAGAATTGTGGAAGACTATGCTCAGGTAAGATTAAAATACTTTCAATAAATAGCCTGTGCCACACACAGGGTGTTATTGGATGAAAGCAGAGGATAGAAAGGTACGTAGTCCCTATCCCTAAGAAACCTAAAAACCCAAGAGGCTCTTCTGATTACAATGAACAGGAATTCGTTTAGGTCACATCAAAAATAGATGTGACCTCGGGGACCAGCAGTTAGCGTAATGGCTATGTCGCTGGACACCCACATAGTCGACCGCAGTTCACGTCCCAGACCCAGGGACTTAAAACTCATGCCAGGCGCATGTGCGTGTGTGCCCAAGATCCTGAGAGTAGAGTGGAGGAGAAGGGATTGCGGCGTGGTCATCCCCTCTCGGGGGTGATTTCTCGCTTTCTATCTCTCTGTCTCTCTGTCTGTCTGGCGAGCGCACGCGCCCTATAGCAAAAA